ATCATAAGTGTTGCATAATTCAGTACTAACTTTGCTGATTAGGTCAAAGGTGAAATTAGCTGTATTGGCCAATCACATCACAGACTTAAAGTGTGACGTCACTTTCAAAGTGTGTAATACCAAAAATATCACACGGGTGTTATTACACCGAAAGTGCATGATACATGTGATAAAAATTCCTATGCAATGTTTTGATACCACTGGGATGATATGACTTTTGTTTGTCCCGTATTTCTGTTTGATTTCAACCTTTTCCCCACCAGACTTTCGCTCCCAAATTTGTCTGCACTTTTTTTCTCATATTCTTCAATATTTGTGGTAATGAACCCTAATTTTGGAGCCGACAGACAAAATTTGAGTACATTTTCCATTTTTATTTCAATAATTTGGCTATTTTTGTCCCAATCTTCTGAAGGAAAGTGCAGACTATAAACGGGACTATTTTGGACTGGTGGTGAAAAGGTTAACATAGGATCTCACAGTGAATTCACTTAGGTCCAGCCATTTTTTACAAATATTGTAATTATTAGATCTTTATGAATCTGGCAAATTATCCTTAATTCAATAACCTCAATTAAGGTTACTGTGGAATACTTTTATTTTCGCTGATTTTTGATGAGTTTAATGTGAAATAAAGGAAAAAAAGTATATTTGCTAGAATTTATTTTCACAGAATCATCCCTTCAGCGAAAATAGCGAAAATAAATTCCAAGCGAAAATAAAGTATTCTACAGTATACATAATTATGAGCATGTCCAGTTTTTATTATAACATATTTTGTGATTTATATATTTGCTAAAAATTATCATAAAAATTGTTTGACCAGTTTTGGTACATTTTTCATTCTGTCATGGCAACTGATGATGCTTGTCACATAAATAATAGTCGTATTATTTTAGAATAATTTACCTGGGTTTGACTGTCTGGTCCTCGGGAGCCAATGGAGAGTTAGTGACAGGGTTTCTTCCTTCTTCCCAGACATCATCATCAAATGGTTTGTTGGATTTACTCGTAGGGTTCACCTCATCTGTATCTCCAAATGATGAAGGCTTCAACTGGTTGTCTTGGTAAACTATAAATGAGATGAATACATGAGGCAATTAAGAGAGAATAGAGACAGTGTGGATGGTGTCAGATCTGTTGACATCTAGAAAAGACAGAATTACTATCATTGTAGAACTTGGAAGTACTTTCAGTTTTATTTTTTAGTAATTCATAGAAACACTGAAAATAACGTTGTTTGCCTGTTATATTGTTTTTGTTACGTCATTGAGACACTGAATCTCTGAACTGTACTATATTACACCTGATTAGAGTCAGCCATTGTAGAAAGCCATTTTTGTGGCGGATTCTGTAATATAGGAACTCAAAAACTAGTACACTTTAAACATGTAGATCAAGTCTGTTCTCATTGTTTTAGACATGACAGTTCCTGTTGTGCAATAATAAAAAACAGTGAAACCAGTCAGCTATTGATAATTAGTCCAGACATGTTCAGGAAATATGGCTCTGAAACAGCATTTAAAAACAAAATCGGTCATCTATGTCGAATGTTGCATTATAAGTTTGAACAAAATCTGTCATACATTGGTCCCAGAATGGCCGAAATGCTTGATTATGATGAATTTTTAGCACTAAAATGGCCACCAATTTGGCCATCCTGATCTTATGAATAAAATAAATGCATATGCATATATCTTGAGATGTCAAGTTTGAATACGAGTGGATGGACAGATGCACAGAAGTCAATGTTTTTTGGACTTCTTTCAAATGAAGAACAAAATGGCCGCCATTTTGAACTAAATAGCGAAATGAAATGCATCAGGAACTAAATATACCCCCCCGGTAAGTGATGTCGGTATCAAGTTTAAAACATGGTAGATGATCAAATGTTGAACTTTGGTGTTTCTTGGACAAAAACAGACACTAATCAGACAAATGTCAACAAAACAAAGAACAGAACATTGTGCTTATGAATATTCCCGTACTCGACCGCGTTAGCGCCCAGGGGCCTCAACTCAGAAAATCACGGTTTTGTAGGGGTGGGCGCTTACCCGAGCACCCCTCTCGAAAAAGAGTGCAAATGAAAATTTTGATTCATCAAGTGACAGATTACGTCTTTGAGGGAAAATCAAATTACTAAATTAATTGCGTCGTCATTGATTTTCACAATGAAGAAACAGAAATGAACACAAAAAATACGCACATTTTATTACAATATTAATTACGTACCATAATTTACGGAATTAAAAACATTTGAGTCTGTTGGAACACAGTCGAAGTCAAAATTGTCATATTATTTCCACTGACGAAGTTGTTGGATCGTACGCAAACTCTTGATGAAAATCACTTTCCGCCATGATGCAATTGCAGATTTGACCTGCAGCAGCGTCCTTTGATCTAATGGGTCAAGTTGGTTATTAACTAATCAGAATGCTGTGTTGTACTGACGCAATTCTTCGAAAATTCCCGAAGACTTTCCGGTAACGCAATGCGGAAGTGAATAATCGATGTCGAAGTACGATCTGTTGGAATTGATTTCAGTGAATAAACGACATGGTTTTTCCAAAATACTAGTAACTAGCCATTTTTGAGAGGTAAACTGAATATTTATCGCATTTTACTTATTTTAACAGGTCATTGTCGAAGCGTAGTTTACGCACGGTTACCGTGTTCTACGCATTCACAACATGTTCACAGCGATCGATATCCACGCTGTATCATATAAAAACGATTACCAAGATTTGTTACGCAAGACCAAGTTTTAAATTAGTTGCATTTTGAAGGGGTGGGTGCTTTGCCGAATGTGACCCCAAATATAAAAACTGCGCAAAAGTGGGCGCTTGCCCGGGCATGGGCGCAACGCGGTCGAGTACGGTATTATAAATTTTGAACAAATTAGTCCATGCATATCCAAGTTATGAAGTTGTCTGACACTCAGACTTTCAGGTGGAATCCAAACAAGTCTGTTTCTGACTACTTTCGACAGGGACAAATACTGATGAAGCAAAGGTCAAAAACTTTTTACATACAGGACTTACCACACTTAGCATTATAAGATGCATCAGTTTGTACTGGTGGTGACTCTTCCCATACTTCTGAAGCGTTGACAACGCCGTGTTCTCCACCCCTAGGTGGCAATACCGGAGTAGATGTGTGCTGGGTTGATGATTGATCCAGCCCGTGGACACCAGATGACAGTAACGGCTTTGATCTGACACTGTATATGGGTGTAGGATTGTGTTTCACAGCAAATGAGGCTGATCTACTCGGAGAAAGTGGCTGTGAATATGACTGATCAATGCAAGATTCTAGTGACTGTCTTGGTGGGATATGTAAAGGCAGTCTGTCCTGATTCATACCAAATCTCTGAGGTACCACCATGAATTGACGAGCTGGTGGTGATCTTGGTAATGAGAAGCGATTTGGTGGTAGCATAACTGGTACATTGGCTGAATAGTCTGGTCGCATCCAATGTTGAGATGCTGTCGGCAGATATACTGGACGAATATCACTTTGAAATACTGCTCTACTGAACTGCTCGAATGGTATGCTTTGCTGGCTTTGGTTGTATATTGGAAGCTCCCCATGAGGGAATGGTAACAGTATTTTACGAATAGCTGCATCTATGTGAACAAAAAACAATACATCATCAGTAAAATACTCACAAACTTAAAGCGTGGTAGTCGTTGCGCTGCGCATGTTCAACATTAGTGTTGATAAACATTGATTTTCCCACAATCCAATGCACTCTTCAAATGGAAATCACAAGTATGAGGTTTGACCTTGGCGCGACTTGCACTGATTACTGCAGGTGACTCCTTCGATACCTTCCAATCACATGAAAATTACCTAAATAAAGCTTGGAAATGTGTCAGTTCGTACTCGTTGATCTGCACAACAGTCAAAGTCGCCATCTTTGTTTATATGAGACCCATATATTTCGTACATGCGCAGCGCGACGACTACCGCGCTTTAAATTAAACTTAATTTTTTTTAAAGTTGTAATTTGCCTTTTATTTTCAATTTTTTAATTACTCCAGTAACATTTATAGCACCAAGCAGAGAGTACAGCATTGGAACAGCAATGTAATTATTTTTTTTTATTTCTTTCCATGCCTATTCTTCACTCACCTACTTTCAAGACTTTCTCATTCAAACAGATACCATCTTTAGTTATTAGTTTAGTAAAATAGACATCACTTTCAGGAACTTTCTGAAATCAACAAAGTATGTACACATGTTTTGTATATTGTTAACCATGAAAATATTGGAAACATGGGAGAACGTATGAATTTGAGTCACTTTGATTCCTTGTTTCAACCGTTGGCAGCACATTTTTCTCCTTTCAAAACATTAGTGCATTGCCCACTTCTTTGTTAATTCTGGGCTAAATAGACATAACATCCCAGTCTCTTCAGACGTTGATCAAAATGTTTTTAAAAAATTGAAAAATAATTTTTTTGCCACCCAAGGGTACATGTAGAATGTCAAATGTTACAAAATTTTTACGATTTAGCATGCAGTTACATCAAACACACTCCACCTATTTACTGTACATCATATGACTAATCAATCACATGATTATTCATGTAGATCGATAATAAGACTTTTTGGCAACATACAAATGAAAAGCATACATGTGTCATAAGTGTAGAAATATAAGGCAAAATAGGTTTAGCGATGTATAAAAATACTAGTCTAGGAATTAATCTGTTTTATACAAGACGACAGGATTGGATTAACTTTACCTGGCTCATAATGAAGGCTCTTAGTTCCACCCCACGTGTCAAGTTTGTAAACTCAGCTTGTGCAACAGCAGAAAATACGTGACTAGTGTATCCACCAATATGACATTCAAAGGCCTACGTATAGATACAAATATAAAATATTATTCAAAATATATCTGTGTTCAAAGTTTGTCGTTTGTTGGTTAACATTTCTAGCTTTTCCACTACAAAAAAATATACATAAAACCAAATTGTTACCTATTTGAGCAAGATTTCAAGATAAACTAAATATGATAAAAACAGTTACTTACCAGTATGCAAATTAGATAATTATTATTCACAAAATAATTATAAAAAATTTAACCATAATCAAATCCATATAGGAAACTGTTAAAGAGTGGTAGTCGTCGTCGCATGTGTTGATAAACTTGATCTAATGGAAATCACAAGTATGAGGTTTGACCTTTAGTAATTAGCAACTTGCACTAATTACCGCCGTTGACTCCTTCGATACTTTCCAATCACGTAAAAAATACCTAATTAATGCTTAGTAACGTCTCAGTTAGTACTTGTCGATCTGCGTAACAGCCAAAGTCGTCATCTCTGTTTATATATGACCCGTATATTTTGAGCATGTGTGGCGCGACGACTACCACCCTTTAAAATACACACATGACAATTGGTATTTGCAGATTTGAAAATAAAATAATGATCAAGTTAACCTTGTAAAGTTATCAACAACATTTCTAGAGTGATTGAAATATGTCGAAGAGTTTCAGAGAAAAATTGATTAATACATAGAAAGAATGGCACTACCCAAGCTAGTTTTTTGATATGCATCAGAACAGGCATGTTAAATGTCCTGAGAAAACTTGATACCTGAAATGGATAATCTTGGGACTCCACTGGCAGCTCACGTACAAGATCAGATGACATCCAAGCACAATTACCATAGTCAACAAAACGCACAAACACCTGTAGGATAGGCAACATACATAGAGTCTGAGTGTAGTTTAATATATTAGACATGTAGCATATATTCAAGTCCCCGTTGGTTCAACAGTAAACAAAACTGAAACAAGTCAGTCATTTAAAATCAGAACATGAAACTAATTACATGATGTTTTATTGCGATCAGTCAACGTATGTCAGAGACATAGCTCTAGAACATTTCTATCCATGTACAACTGAGATCTAGTTCCAGGATGCCAGATTTTGATGCATTTTCAACATTAAAATGACAACCATTTGGCCATCTTGAATCTGTCATTGTCATCGTCAAGGTATATCAGAGAGACAGTTCTGGAACTACAATCATGG